TGACTGGAGTATTAGGAATGGTTAGGTCTGTTTGTGATACATTCTGGATGATTTCAGCTCCTGCAGATGCCTCTACAGGGTCATCCAACAAACTTCAGTTGAGTTTATAAAGTACTGTTACAGCTTCTAACGTTGTGACCAAGTGGGAATGACCAAGGGAAAGTCAAAAAAAAGGGCGTGTTTAATTAAACACAGCATTGGAACTAATTGATATATTTGTCCACACACAGTATATATAGAATCACAGCAGATTTCTTTTGGGCTGTTTGAGGGTAAAGACACTATAGATTCCCACAGTTTTCTGAGAACTCTTCCTTACTAAGGCTGTATTTAAATTTTGCAGGAATCAAGCCTTTGTTTCGACAAAGGCGCATCTTTAAAACCTATAGACATGCTTCCTCTTACGACTGTTCAATCACAGCACTTTTTATTTCGCCATATCACAATCATTTGAGCAGGATGCAAGTTTTCCACCAGTGTTGTGATCTACACTGCAAAAAAGGTTTAAAGAATTTGTTCAAATGTATATTTATTTGTATGTATAGAGTAATTTAAGCGTGTATGTGTTTGAAAGTGTGAGCGTGAGGACGTGTGATTTAATAGATATTTGATGGGTGTTAAAATGCTGATCATGATCACATGCTGTTGTGTGATATAATGGACCTACAGCAGCAATACAGAGTGTTTGTAATTTTTGGTTGCCTTATTTATTTCTTATTTTTAGTGTTCTGATACCATAGTTAGTGACTCACTAATGATATGTACATAGAAATATAAATACAAATAATGAAGAAATACTGACTGTATTTTATTCTGTGAATTTGGAGGGGGTTTTTTTGTTTGTTTGTTTGTTTTTTTTTAACTTTTCTTCCCTCAAGCTGCACGTAAAAATTAATCAAGTGAAGCAGATTCCTCCCAAGATGAAGAGCGTGCAGCCATATTTGTTTCAGACGTCGCTTTGTACCGTACGTGTGAACTTTACTGAATATGCAAATGTACCGATTGCATCATCTTATGAAAGTTAAGCTATGTCTGTGTATGTGTGGTTAAAAACATGTGGCCCTGATCAATTAGACTAAGCAGTGCTGTAGAGACCAAGCATGTTGTCATTGAAAATTGTAAATATAAACTGAAAATTAAAAATGAAACATTTTATCATTTTTATTTATACAGGAAGTTTAAAGGGATGGTTCAGTGGAAAATCATTATTTGCACAAAGACCTGTTTGGTGTCTGACGTTTTGTACTGGAACTATGACACTATTGTAGCTAACAAGTAATCAAACCACATCCAGTTATTAAGTAACGTTATGATGTTATGAAAAAAATGTGGGTGGAGGGAATTGCGCAAGTTAAATTTTTTTGCTGAACTGTCTCTTTAACAGATGAGTAGTTCATCGGAGTGTGTGTGAGAGAGAAAGAGAATGAAAGTCTGTGTACACGTGCAAGTGCATTTATTTGACCTAATCTGGAAATAAATATACTTGACGTCTGTTAATCTGTCATTTTATTTGTCAGTATCTCATTGACATACGGTTTTGGCATGATACTCTATGTAAAGACTCCATAAAATGCAAACTGAAAGATTAGACCTGCATATTAGAGCTTTGCTAATTTTTTATTTCATTAGATACATATTGTTGCTTCTCCTGTTAAGAATCTTCAAGTACAGAAGTATAAGCACTTCTTCTGATAGGAATACCTGACACCTGCTTGTTCATGCAATTATTCAATAATTTCACACGGAATGCGAAATACAAAAAAACATCTTCAGCTGTCCAGTTCGGGTGAGTCTGTGTCCACTGTAGCCTCAGATACCTGTTGCAGATTGGCTGACACATACAGTATATACTCGCCATCCACTTTATTAGGAACACCTGCAAATTCATGCAGTTATCTAATCAGTCAATCATGGGGCAGCACATGCAAAAAAATCATGCAGGTCAAGAGCTTCAGTTAATGTTCACATCAAACACCAGAATGAAGAAAAAATGTGATCTCTGTGATTTCAACTGTGACATGGTTGTTGGTGCCAGATGGGCTGGTTTGAATATTTCAGAAACTGGTGATCTCCTGGGATTTTCAAACACAACAGTCTCTAGAGTTTACACAGAATGGTGCTAAAAACAAAAAAACATTCTGTGAGGGTCTGCAGGCTGAAACACCTTGCTGATGAGAGAAATCAGAGGAGAATGACCAGACTGATCTGAGCTGACAGGAAGTCTACAGTAACTCAAATAATCACTCTTTACAACAATGGTGAGCAGAAAAGCATCTCAACACATCAAACCTTGAGGTGAAAAGACCACATCTGGTTCCACTCCTTTCAGCCAAGACACTCTAATCTGAGGCTGTCATGGGCACAGACTCACCAAACTGAACAGTTGAAGACTGGAAAAAGACCAGGTGTAAAGTTTAGAGACTGTTGTGTGTGAAATTCCCAGGAGATCAGCAGTTTATGAAATATTCAAACCAGACCATCAGGTACCAACAGCCATGCCACAGTCAAAGTCACAGAGATCACAATTTTTCTTCATTCTGATGTTTGATGTGAACATCAACTGAAGTTCTTGACCTGCATGATTTTCTTTCTTTTTTTTTTTTTTTTTGGTATTATGCTGCTGCCACATGATTGGCTGATTAGATAACTGTATGAATGTACAGGTGTTCCTAATAAAGTGGACGGTGAGTGTATTTGGTAGTGTAGCAGCAAAAATTTTAATTATGAAAAAATTACCCCATGTTTTAGTGCTTGAATTGAACTTTACAAGCAATTAATAAATAAAATACAAGAAAGATAAGTAAATACTGAAAGGTGAAAAAACTTTAAGGGTCCTTTGAATAGTTAAGGGTTCCTAGCTTCTTATAAGAGCCCTGTTTGGTTATATCTTCTTTGTATTTGTTTTATAGAGGGACAGAGGATTAAGGGCTGAACCCATTAAGGGTTCAAGATTTAAGAATTTTCTAATAATAATAGATTTTTAATAGTGCACAATTTCTGAATAAATAAAAAAAAGATACTACTACTACTAATAATAATATTAATAATAATAATTATTATTATTATTATTAGTATTATTATTATTGAAAGTAAAACAGGCATGTTTACTGTATATTTTATGCATTATTCAAATTTAGGAATCGATTCCTATGACTGAATTAAAAGATTCGATCAAAAAGAACCGATTCCTTCGCGATTCACCCATCAGTATAATCCGCCCTTCCAGCGTTATAAAGCCGAGTGAATTTTCTTCCTGTCGGTTGGAGTCAGGAGACCGTCGCCGCTTCGCTAGAATTTCAGCAATAGCGGAAAAAGCCTAACATGGGAACCCGAGATGATGAGTATGATTATTTATTTAAAGGTCAGTTGTAATTTAATTTACGCGCCTAAACATGGTCATTAAGCGGTGCAATGAAGATTTCAAACCACCGTTAATGCGAGTTTATTTAGCTAGATAAGCTAAGGTACTAGGCTAAATTCGCTAGATAGCTGTCTCCGGCTGTATCCCAAATGGCTTCGTGCGTGTGGTGTAAGTGCACTACGCCGCGCAGGAGAGCGGGTCTGGTATTCGCTCTGTAGTGCACTACGTGTCCGGTGGAGCGCGGTTTGGGAGTTAGACCATATTCATGACGCTAACCAGACAACGATGGCCTTTTAGTCTGTCGAGGCCTTTTGGTGTAGGCTGATAGTTTTTTTGGAAACTATGCCATAATTTTTAAAACTAGTTAATTAGAGGGGATTTATATCTACAAAAATAAAATTTCATTGCGTGGTAGCTATGCAGCTAGCTATCAAACAGCTCTTTAATGAGGATAGAGGAAGCTAACCGCTATCTAGCTAGGTAGTTCGCTAAGTAGCTAAAGTAAGCTACACTCTAGTTTCAGTTCAAACTAAGATTTTTCTCTGGAATTGCATTTCAGTGTGGTTCATATGTGAAGTTGTATAGCTGTGGGTGTTATCCGCCGCTCAGCCGTTACCCGCTGTGCTGGTGCTCCACATCAGTTTGGAGTTTTTAAAAACGTGGTTTATTTAAATAACGAGTAGTCGAAAAACTTGGTTGTTTCCTTTAACTAGTCGGTTTGATGAAGAGAGATGAAACGGGGCGCGTGGCGCTGGGATTAAAACGGTGGAAGTCGCTCGCTTATCTGTCATATGGACGAGGAAATGATTGATGAGAGATTTCTGCGGGATGACGTCATGGCTTCCCTGTCAGGCTCATGATGTGGTGATGTTGCTGAATAATGTTCATGAAAATCATATCAGGAGGGTAAACATTATTTCTACAAACGTCTCTAATGCAAGTAACAACAGTTTCCCCCAGAACGAGTCCCGTGATTGTTAGTGTGTGTCCTGATGATATGAAGATGCTTGAACAGCAGTTTTCAAACTCCTAGTCATTTATTTACTACCACAGTATCACAGTGGCCCTTTGTGTAGGTGATCAGAGTAACAGGTCATATAACATTAAAGCTGAGGTACAGAGGCGGATCACATTTCTGTCGTTTGCATGCTTTGTTCCCCCCCCTTTAAAAAAAATCAAAACCAAGCAAGTACAGCTGAGTGGAGTTGTGTGCATAAGTACCATTATAATGGAAAGAAATGTAATTTACATACTACACGTTCAGTGTATTAATCTCCACAAATGATTCTTCATTGTCATGAGTAACAAACATAGCCAAACACTGTATGGTAGGATTTAAATCATTGCAAATCTAAAAACTAAATGCAAATAATGATATTCTCTAATTTGCACACCCACCCACTTTATTAGAAACATTCGTACTCCTGCTTATTCGTGCAGTTTATCCAGTCGGCCAGTCATGTTACAGCAGCAGCGCAATGCATAAAATCATACAGATACAGGTCAAGAGCTTCAGATACAGTTCACATCAAACATCACAGTGGGGAAATATGTGATCTCGGTAACTTTCACTGTGGCATGGTTGTTGGTTTGAGTATTTCGGAAACTGCTGATCACCTGGGATTTTCACGTACAAAGGGAAGTGGTAGGTCAGTGGTTAAGACGTAGGACTCCTAATTGGAAGGTCATGAGTTCAATTCCCAGCACCGCTGCCACTGCTGGGCCCTTGAGCAAGGCCCTTAACCCTCAATTGCTCAGTTGTATAAATGGGATAATTGTAAGTCATAAGGGCGTCTGCCAAATGCCGTAAATGTAAATGTCTCTAGAGTTTACACAGAATGGTGCGAAAAACAAAAATTATCCAGTGAGTGGCAGTTCAGCAGTTGGAAATGCCTTGTTGTTCAAAGAGGTCAAAGGAGAATGGTCAGACTGGTTCAAGCTGACAAAGTCTTTTGGAACTCAATCTTAATTCTTTATTAAGATTGAGTCTTTAATAACTCAGTCGTAATCACTCTTTACAACCATGGTGAGCAGAAAAGCGTCTCAATGCACAGCATGGGATACCTTAAGGTGGATGAGCTACAACAGGAGAAGACCACGTCGGGTTCTGACGCCTGTCAGCCAGAAACTGGACTATTGACCGTTTTCTTTTTAGAAGAAAAATATCGCCTAGTCTTTTTCCAATAGTCCAGTTTCAGCGAGCCTGTATCTGTGTGATTGTATGTATTGCTCTGCTGCCACATGATTGGCTGATTTGGATAATTGCATGAATGAGCAGTTGTTACTGTTGAAGTGGCTAGTGAGAGTTTAATCATCTTCAGGCTCTTTCATATCATCTGAACATCTGTTCTTCTCTCAGTTGTTATATTTGTGCCATGTTCTACTTAACTTTACCAGATGTTACACACTGCAAAACTTTGACTACTAGCTTTTTTTCAAAATGTTTGTTTATTTATTTGTTTTTGTTGATATTTAGATATTTTTTATGCCAGACTTTTTGCTCTTTTAATGTTTTGGGTTGTTCCCATGTTGCAGACTACACCTACAGTTCATTTTTTCAGGATTACTTATTGTCAATAAATTCAACAGTTGTTAAGAGGCACGTTTTACTTTTTGCCACCCAGAAGGCTCAGGGAAGCAACTTTTTAACATCATTGTCTATAGTTTGCACTATTTATTTGCCGTTATGATTTAACTCCCGTCATCCTGATCGTTTTTCTAGATCGCATAAATTCGTCTATTTGCTTCAATGACTTAAACTACAGGAAATTACACCAAGATGAATTCTTTTTCCACTAGGAATCCCAGTCTCGTAGTGAAATCATATGACCCTTTTTGAAACATTTTCAGCTGTATAACTGAGGAGGGAAGATGACGGTGTAGATTTTGCAAGCTTTTATTCATTCCTGCTGGAATCTCCACATGCAAGTCATAAAAATGTTAAGTTACAAGACGCCTTTATTACCAGATTTAAACCCTGTGTGAGATGCCATGGCCTTGGTTATGCTCAATGTTTACAGCTTCATTGCAAGATAGATGTTTGATAAAAAACGTAATGAGTAATGCAGTGGAAACCTTTTCCCATTCATTAAAACATAGGAGTACGACTGAGTGGTACGACAGGATTGTTTATATCCCAGTGTGATCCTCTTCCCAAATACGACCGTCCGTGATGTGTTTTATGACTGAAACCTTACTTTCCTGGCGCTACAAGGCTAATGCAGCTAATGCCTAAGAGAAGCATATAGCCACCAGCATAAGCAGTGTGAAACTGTGTTTGTAAATTCAACCACAAGTCTAATAAATTTGTGGTTTCTGATTCTGTGTGTCCTCTACAGAAATGCACAAAGGAACATCACAGGACTAAAAACAGAAACAGCAGCCATTTTACTGTCTAACTTACTTTCTTTTTCAGTACATAATTTGGTATCATTCAGTGTAAGGCTTAGAAACGTGGCCAAGATTTTTTTTTTTTGGTTCTTATTTTTTTTCTCTTTTTCTGTAGAAATACTATTGCTTTTGTAAACCTTGGACAGCAAATATGTTTTGGCTGATTGATCATGTCAGGGTTGCAGGAAAATTCTCAGTGGTCATAAATAAAATTTTCACTGGACTACTTCTTTCATTTCAGATAAATAATATAAATAAAAAGCTACCCTCGGATTTTAGGCATTTCAAGTGTTAAGTTGTTCTGCATAAAATTCAAGGATTTAAGGTGTTCCATCTAAAATTCTAGACACATAATAAGAGAAGTCCTGTACTAAATACTAGGGCTGCACGATATTGAAGAAAAACGCGATATGCGATAACTTGTTAAATAATGCGATATGCGGTACTATAATGCTATAAGTGTGTAAAATCAATTAAAATTTTATATATATATATATATACACACACACACACACACACACACACACACACACATATCTAAGTAAATTAAAGGCACATTTTATTTCCCTAGCTATCATTTATTGTTTTGAAAGAGATGGTCAGTGGAGTACAGAAATGCAGCCTGTAGTACAAATCAGTTTAGTGTCTTCATGGTATTTTGCAGTGGTGCTCATTGGAGACTCCGGAGTGGGGAAAAGTAACCTGCTGTCCCGTTTCACACGCAATGAGTTCAACCTGGAGAGCAAGAGCACCATCGGTGTGGAGTTCGCTACTCGAAGCATCCAAGTGGATGGCAAAACCATAAAAGCTCAGATTTGGGACACAGCAGGACAGGAGCGCTACAGAGCAATCACATCAGCGTGAGTGCATGAGGCTCTGCCCAAACACACTTGATTCTATAAGAAAGGGATGAAACATGACCGGGTTGTGTGATGTGGTCCGGCGTGAAGCAGGGTTACTGTTACCACCCCAAAGTGCACATACACGTTATTAATTTAAGGAATATGCACACATGCTGCACATAGTTAATTAAGGAACTGCACATACACTTTAATTCATCGTTATATTTTATGTTGTAAAACATCCTGAAATGCATTAGTTTTTGTTGTTACAGTAACATATTTTAAGCATATGCAGTGTTTGTATATTGAACACCTAATCATTTTGCCTTTATCCTTATGTTCTGTTTGGGAGTAGGCTGCCTAGTGCATTTGTGCAGTGTGATGGTGTGTCCAGTTTGGAGGACCTAGGATAGATGTCTTTAGAGAGCCTGTACTCAAATTTGAAGGAATTGCATAACTCTTCTGTTCTGTAATTAAAGATATAACAGTGATGCATGCCAGCCACACACATGCACATGTCATGTAAGCTTGTGTGATGGTGTTCAATGTTATTTTCTGTTTCTAAAATATTTTGATCAGTATAAATTTAAACATTTCAGTTCTAGTATCTCAATTTAACTGAGTGTCCTGTTGGATCATTCAGGTACTACAGGGGTGCAGTAGGAGCTCTTTTGGTGTATGATATTGCCAAGCACCTGACCTATGAGAACGTAGAGCGCTGGCTGAAGGAGCTGCGTGACCATGCAGACAACAACATCGTCATCATGTTAGTGGGCAACAAAAGTGACCTGAGGCATCTTCGAGCCGTGCCCACTGACGAGGCCCGGGCCTTCGCAGGTGAGTTTCACTTGTAACCAGATCTTTAAAAGAAGCGCATTATTCATGGCTTTAACAACGTGTGTGGCATTTCCTTCTTTCAGAAAAGAACAACCTGTCTTTCATTGAGACTTCAGCTTTGGACTCCACAAATGTTGAAGAGGCTTTTAAAAATATACTCACAGGTAGGGAGTTATTGTGTGTACAGCAGACATAACCAGATTAACAAACTGTGTGTAATTGTTGATATGGTGAAGTTTGTGTGAGGAGGTTTATTTATGGAATGAGTCTCAAGTGTCAACACTTTGTAACAGTCAAAGGTTAAGCAGGAACATCAGAGGAAAGTCTTGAGGACTTAATTTTACGAGAGAGGAAGGAGAAAGGAGAGGCTGGTGATGGACTGTTTATAATGTAAATGGTAATAGGACGTGTCATTTTTTTAAAATAAAAACTAAATAAAAAATTTTAAAAAATAAAATGCTGTGGTATAAGAGAGATAAAACAGAGTGGTTGTGTTTTTCTGCAAATAATCGGCTTAATGCCAGGGCACGTCACACCACCCTTTCATTGATGTATTTTGTCTGTGTCTGTGTCTCTATCTATATAACGGCCCATCCTACTGCATTTTATTCATTACTTAGCAATCAACTACCTGCCTTAGATCTTCCATGAAGTTCCATGAAACACACTCTGAAAAAGATCTAGGAATAAGTGGATGTTACAGACATGGGATGGAGTATTTGAGGAGTAAGTTGTGGGAGCAATATGTGATGAATGCAGGGGTAAACAACAGAAGCGCAGTTTAAAAAAAAAAAAGTGTCAAATAAATGTAGAATACTCTATTAGTAGTGCAATGGACAAAGAAGAAAGTACAAGTCCATGTCCATGAAGGAAGCACAGTTTGTGTCATTAGGAATAGGCAGATCCTTATCAGGGGTAATAGTGCACCAAAGGAAGCCCAGTATAAGTAGCAGTCCTTCGAGGCATGCTATGTGTGTGTGTTTGTGTATGAATGTTTGTCCGGGACAGCCTTCAAGATAGCCAGTCGTCTTCTCAGAAACGTTCTCCAGTACAGACTCCTGAAAGTTCCTGTGTGTGATATACATTAGCTTAAAATGGTTTACTTTCTGTATATGCTCTTTTCCAGAAATCTACCGTATCGTATCACAAAAGCAGATCGCAGACAGGTCTGCACATGACGAGTCTCCCGGCAACAATGTGGTGGACATCAGTGTTCCCCCAACCACTGATGGGCTGAAAGGCAGCAAATTCCAGTGCTGCCAGAACCTGTGACCCTGCTCTTTGCTCACTCCATGCTGCTTCTTCCTCTGTTCCTCTCACACTCATCGCTTCTTTGCTGTGTATTGTGCAACCGCTGGTGCTCTAGCTCCATCTACTCATGTCGAGTCTAGAATTTTCCCCAGTCCTATGAAGTTCTAGATAACATTCCTATTTTTTCCTTTTTTGTCCTTTATTTGATTTTTTTTTTTTTGTTTGTTTGTATAAGATTTTTGTGTATTTTCCTCTTTTTTCGGTTATCACGTCTGAATTCATGCTACTTAATGAATTAGTTTTTGGAAGTGATTCTGGTTGGGCACTGATCGTGTGACCCACTCCTAAGGAAAAGGATGGTGAGGGATCAGTGTGTCCTGAGCTTCCAGCCACT